ATTCCCTTGACGGTTCTTTCAAAAGGCAGATTTATATCATGACACATGACGTCTTGAACACGAGTAAACACGTATAAACCTTGCTCTTGTGGAGAAAAATATGCGGATTAGATATTTTAAGAATTCTGTCAAGATTCTTAAAGAACCTATAAAAAAAACTTTAACGGAAGATAATTGTCAGCCGGGCGGAAATAATTGCAAGCGACAAATAATTGGTAGGACATCACGAGCCCCTTTTCTTCTTACGATCACATATTTTTTTTTCGATTATTTTGTATGCATCTGAATCTTTAAAATTTTTGCGTGTGTCGTAAAATCTCAGTTCTAGCACGGCAATTTTACGCCATTTAGCATCTCGCGCGCGGTTGGAATCCTTTAGCAAAACTATCGTTAAACTTTGAAAACCATAATAAAATCCACTCGAGGGGAACAAGTGGTAAGTGCGTGTTCTTTCGAACTTCCAAACGATCGCCATTAAAAGTCAGCTGTCTAAGCGTATTATAGTTCTACGTGTTATAATTAGTTCAAGGGATACCATTATCCACATTCTATATGATTGTAGCAAGCTCCCCTATTAGTATTGAAGCGTAAAAAATCTATGACACCGTACAAATTTATAATTCTTTGTAAAAATAGAAAGAAGAAAATTTGGATAACAAATTTATCGTACATGCATTGAAATTCTTTTTAGAAAAAAAGAATTAAAAAGAATTTAAAAATATTCATCATCTTATTATATGCTTTCAATTTTTATACAATTCAAAACGTTTAATTATATAAAATATTTCTGTCTCTAATGTTCTATCAATAAAATGACTAGGTGTTGAAATAAAAGTTTGAAGACAAGTTTCCTTCGATATAAAGAAGTTTCAGAAATTAAATGTACAATGTTCGAAAAACTGTAACGAACTAAAAATTTAATAAGCGTTAAATTTAAGATATTTTTGTTTTTATAACATTTTTTAAGGAACTTTCGAAATTTAGTGTGCACTCTTCGGAAACTCCCATTAAGTTCAAAAAGTTTGATAAATCTTCAACGCTTTTAACTTTTATTACTTCTATATATGAACGTATTGAGGGAGCTTCAAAACGAAGTGCATACTCTTCAAGGAAGTCCCTCTGCGCTCGTGTAAACACAAGTGCAAAAGAAACGCCCTCCGCGTGGGTGCCGCGGCGTGTATATTCGTACATGTTCTCTTCCATTCTCTCGCTCTTCTCTTCGCCTTCGGGGTTCCTGTTTCCCCTTCCGCAGGAATTGAGGACCCAGTTGTGGGCGGCCATCAAGGGAGCGGGAAGGAAGCAAGAAGAATCCCGAAGGGAAGAAAAGAGAAGTAGACCGGACCCTCGGTGGAAGCGAACTTGTCGAGGAGAGATGCAGGTAGCTCTCTCGGAGGACGCCCACAAACCTGTTTTTCCTGTTATATCTTGAGCTCCAGCTTATATGAACTGACCGATTCTATAGCGATCGTGGTCCGGTACCTATCACGATGTCCAATGTGCTTTTTTTTCAGAAATACCTCGGCGCACACTGCGCGGCAAACTACGGCTGTTTTTAACCACGTCGTCCACGGTGACGATCTCTCTTCGTTTACTGCATCTTCGCAAGTGGGAACGGAATCGAGGGATTCGCGAGTATGATAATACAAGAATTTGGAGTGTGATAGATATATATATGCTTGAAACATTGGACAATTTTCTTGTTTTGAAAAAAAAAACGATAATTTCAAATACACGATGGTTTATTTAACTTTTCCGTTTTCAGTATCACTGAAATGCAAATAAAATTCACAACCTATAGGCGAACGTGATCCGTTAAAATTGAATAACCAATTAAAAACAAAAATGAATGTTTCAGATTCCCATTTTCCCTCCAGTTTCGGAACGAATGATAATGAAACATCGAGAACAGTAAATTAAAAAATTTTGGAGCATAAGTCCGTTACAGTAGCCGTTGATATGCTCTACTGAATTTTGAAAAATATTTTAAAGCAAACCAATGGCCACAGTAGCACGCAAGCAATTTATTGAAAAAATCACTTTTACTCGCCGCAAATATTAAGATTCGGGAATGCAATTGATCCGTCGTTACTTTAGGCATACGAGAAAGAATAATATTTTAGGTAGAATCTTCTTCTTTTTCTTCAGGAGTGATTCAAGGCATTTATCCGAACTAATGGTTTCTAAAACTTGCAGTTGTCTAAGTCACGCCTCTCGCTAAAAACTTTTCGCGAGAGAATAAAAGAAGGCAGAAGAGAAAATCGAGGAGCACAAGCGGGAGATTATACACGACCAATGACACACGTTCGAAAATTAGGCTTGTTATCGTGGCAAGGTCAGGGTTTAATGCAGATTAAACGGTGGCTAATATGAGTGCATGTCGCAACGAGAGAGATCATCTGGTTTTCGTACAAAAATAAAATTCATTTCGATATAGTAAATTTCCTTTCGATATCAAGTTTATAGAATACCTACATATACACCTTTACGATCGTAATTCGGTGCTCCGGAAGAGATTGATGCGAACCGAGATATTAATTAAGGAAGAAACCACTCTACAAGCTCATCGAAAAATCTCGTTCTCTGATATGAATCATACGGCGATTTTTATCCGTCGCGATATAAATTATAATAAAGGGAGGATAGGAAATTCAAACCAAACCACGTGCGTCGCGCGTGGCGGTGTATGGTGGTACTCTTTTTGCGTTCCACCACAATTAAGATAAGTGAGAAAACAGCGGCAGTGGTGGGATCATTCGGTTGAAGGGAGGAGCAAAGCGGGAGGGAGAAAGAGACTTGTTTGCTCGAGATTATGGCGGATTAATGAGTTCGGCCAGATCAACAACAGCACGGTTGAAATTTATCAAAGCGAATAATTTTTCGAAATATATATATTAACAGTTTACGAATACTTCCTCTCGGCGACATTACTTTCATTATTATCCGCTAGTTTGTTCTGACGACAGCTTTACTTCATATTCTTCGGCGGATAGCAAATATTTCGACCGGTTTAAAATTTTTACATCTCGTTTATGTTATCTTTCGCTTATATTCCTCCCTTCCACATCTCTCTCCACGAGTGTTGTCTTAACAAGCATTTTCTCTCCGCGATCCGACACTGTTCTTTTTTTTCTTTTCGCAAGTTCGAAGTGCAACGCGTTCCGCTCGTATCGCAAACAAACGAATTTGTAAAATAACCGGTTGTCGATCGCGTTTAATATCGCGATAAATAACAGAACAAGCGGAGAGGTCGCGAATGTTTGGGTGGACAAAAAGCGCGACGATTGTCTGCGCTAAAAAAAAGCTCAAATTAGAAATAATTTAATAGTTTAAATAGACATTTTGCATAAATAACGCATAATGTGCGAGACATTAAAAAAGGTGTTTTCATTTTATGAAAAATAAACAGCTGATCTTTTTTTATCGTACTAATTATTCGTGACGAGCGATATTTGCATTTGTGTTTTTCTTATCAATTACGACGATCGTTTTTGATTATCGGTGAAACTTCGATGATCTGCAGTTCGCACATTATCTGATGTTTACGTAATATAGAGAATTACATATAAATCATTAATAATCGGAACCAAAAATTGTCCCATCAATTTTCTCTTTTCTTTTCTCCGTAACTCCATTTGATTTTCTCGTCTTTCAAAATGGAAATCTCTAGCATAATTCATTTAAGAGATCTGTATCATTCGATAGGAGGGGACACGATTGACGTAGCAGTGCGTTATCATTCGATTAGACTTAATTGCTTCCCATTCGATTAAACATCTTATCTCGCAATTAATTAGCAAATTCATTTTGTAACATTAACATGGCCGCGAATAAAAAATAACATCCGCATCGATTTTCCTTTATGATATTATAACAATTGATATATTGATTGCGATCACAATTAACGCTTATTTTCGGTTAACCAAACTTGGTACAGTAAAATATAATTAAGCTTACGTGATAACGATATGTAATAAAAAGCAAGATAACCGAGATAAGAAATGCATTTGCAAAAAGTTGAATGTGCTTACAATTTATCTCAATGTCGAATACATTTTAAACTGAAAAAAAGATCTTTATTGCCAAAAATTCGTTTCGTTAACGCATGTATGACTTTTTATACTAAAAAAAAACACGAAAAAGTTTCAAGGATATGAGATCCCGCAGACATTTTCCAAGTGCATTTCGGTCAAAACTCTCTCTGGAATGCTGCAGTTAGAGGTTAGAGAGTTTATGTTAAGAACAGCCACGAAAAATATACGCTGTTGTATCAAATAATCTTACCGTATATTTAGCGAGAAAATCGATCTGTCTCGTGAAATGCGCGCGTCCATCCGCGTGTGAAAATTTTGCGCGAGATCGAACATCGACGTTGACCAATTTTTAACTATTCGACGGAGTCAATCGACGCCAGCGGCGTCATCATTTCAACATGCCTAGGGTTCGCGTCTCGCGCGACGCGAGAGTTGCAAAGTTCAGGCAAAGTGGATTCCAGGCCGGCCGGCGAGGAGGAGGACGGAAATGAAAAGTCATCGTGCGGTCGCCTGTTACTTCCATCGTCGTTGTTCCACGTTGCGCGCAAGTGGAAACGATCGGCCGCGGGGTTAACTCAACGACAATCACGATCGCGATTACGAGGAAGCTACGAGGAAGTCGGGCGGGAGTACCTCTCTCTTTCTCTCCTCTCGCTTCTCTTTCTCCTCCGCGTACGTCGCGACTTCGCAGCGATCTTCCCCACTCAACCGCTATGACTGCGGTTCGATTATTTCCGCTGGCGCTGACGCCAATGGTGGCGCGCGATTGGGCGGCAATGGCCGCCAATAGTCGCTACGCGGTTCCACTTGTTCTCGCGCGCACGGCGCGCCGGCGCGCGGCGGCGCACCATTGCTGCTCAGCGCCCTCAGCGGGTGGGCGCCGGGAGGGATGGGGTGGGGTGGGGTGTCGCGCGCGCGTCTGGCGGCAACCTTCACTCGACACTTCCTTCAGCGGCGTACGCGGATCAGTCGCTCGCCGACCTCGTAACGCGACAGTACCGCGGTACCGAAGCCGTTCGCAATCGCATCGCAATCGCACCGCGCGAGGAGTCGTTGAATGACGAGGGTGATCGCACTCGCCCCCGCGTGAGCCCCGCGTTGTCCATTATTACGTGCGCGCGCGCGCCCGCGCCCCCTCCGAGTCTCGCGTACGTCATCTTCCCCGTTGTGCCGCGTACCCGCGGAGACCGGAGGAAGCCAAGACCCGGAGTACAAAGTGCCCCGCGAGGAACACCAGAGACAAAATCACACGCAAGTGACACAAGTGCGCTGAGCCGAGAGTGCTAATGACCGAGGATTCTCTGCCGCTCTCATCTGTGATAACGAGCGCGGCCGCAGCTGCTGATACAACCGGGAGTAGTAATCCTTCTCACGTGTTCACGTGCGCCGCGGCGAAAAGTTTCCGCGCCGGATAATCTCGCCGTCTCTTTCTCTCTCTCTCTCTCTCTCTCTCTCTCTCTCTCTTTCTCTCTCCGTGTCGCGCGCGCGGATGCCGCCCGCCGCGACCTGATTACGCGCGCCGCGTGCCGTCCCCGTGCGTGCGTGCGTGCGTAAATATATGTCGCACACCACGAAGAGCGCGACAAAATTCGCCCAATGAACGGTGGAATGGTTTGTGTCTGGTTGGACTACGACGTCAAGTGATAATTAGCCAGCAGCTCGGTTCTCCCGGCAAAGGATTTTTTTATCGACGAGGGACTGCGGGAGCTGTCGACAACCGGAGACGAAGCAGAGGCTGCGATCGAGGTAATTGTCGCGTCATGCAATTCTCTCCGTAAATTTGTCGAATAAATTTCGCGGTGCCTGTCTCTGCTGCGTGTTGTGTGTGTATGTGTGTTTGTTGTGCACCGAGTAGCGCGCGCGTGCGTACGCGCGCACTCGATGCTCTTCCGATTCCTCCCGATTGTAAACAAATCCTCGCTGTCGCAGCTACGTTTCGCGGAACATTTTTTTCTCCTCCCGGAATCGCCAGATCCGTATTTATACGAACCGCGCTATTTACGGAACTCGTGAAACTTCGAGCAAAAGATTAACGAAAATTTATCACGCGATGGATGAAATTTGACCGAGCTCGATTTGAACTATTTTAAATGCAGACTCGATCCCGAGTTGAATTTTTAATTAATTACTTTTAATTTTTAAAATGCTCGACTATTTCGATGCTTGCGACGACTGTAATTGACATTATTTCTTTTGGCGCTCGTCAAGTATTGCGCTTAATACGCTAAATATCACATCTAAAAATGCACCGAACGCAAACACGCATTTTTACGCTAGTTTTAAGCTAAATTCGTTTCAAGCGTTCAACTACTCTACTTTTTTTTTTATTCGTATTCGCAAACGCTAAAAACGGAGGTACAATTACGATTTTAAATGCATGTTGTTAATAGCGAGAACTTTAATCGATAAAGTTGATTTTTTTGTACTTCAAAAAAAATAAACAAAATTACTCCGTGAATAACGCATGAAAATTTGATTATATAGTAACAATGATCCACCTCGAAATTCTTAATTTTACGAATCATTTTATTTCATCACCCTAATTTGACAGTTCTCTGCAGAAAAGTTCCGCATTTTCTATCGTGCAGATTCTTTGCTCTATATTCCTCCTGTCTTTACTCTCGCGTCTGTCCGCGACAGACCGTCGAGCTCTCTCATCGCGCGAAAGGTCAGCCACTCGACGGAGTCCGGTCCATTTTCGTTCTTCCTCGATTCTCCTCGTTGCCGCGCGCTCCGAGAGACGAACAGAGCGGAGCGAAACGCGCAGCCCGCGGCTCGTTACCGTATCCGAGCACGAGGAGTTAATTCCGGCGTGGCGCGCCGCGACGCGCGGAGAACCCGGAAATCCGCTGGAAGCCCGGCCTCGCTTTTAATCCGCTCGGCGATGTTAATAACCGGTCGTGCGGAATTTAATTAACGCGAGCTGCTGACGTCAACCCGCTCTAGCTGCAGCTCGCGGATTCGCTTTGCGCGAGACGGATAAATAAGCTCCGTTGTCTTCGAATGCGGGGAGCGCGAACGCGACCGACATAGTCGTCAAATTGGTGGATTCGATTACCATCACGACTTTCCACGCAAGAAACGAGTCGCTCCCAAAATCGTACTACAAAATCTATTTTAACTTTCCTCGAAATTGTATGGAAACGGTGGATATAAGAACAATGATAAGATAGGAGGGTATGATGGATAATAATAATAATTATTATTATATATATATATATATATATATATATGGAAACTTTGAACAATTTTTTATCTTATCACACGAAGGTGAACTCTAAAATGCTAATTACGGACTATTAGCATACCTTGGTGTAATTTTAAACGGCTGCCATTTGATGCTAACGTATATAATTAGACGTAATTACGTAAGGTACAATTATATTTAACATACGGCGATAAATTAAGGTGTTTAGCCTACTTTTAAGATACCTATTTTCGTGACGTTACTTCCTAGTACGACAGTCGTCGCGATGATTCATATATAAATGTTTCATGTACGTATGCATATAGAAAGATTCAAAAGATAGAAAGATTTTGTCTAACACAAAATTAGATGGGCCTCGCGTTTTCGCATTGTCATTTATTGGATATAAATAGATGTTACGATATATCTTTCTCACAAGTGTGTTACGCAAGCGAGATTGTATAACATTTTACTTACAAGTTCCTATACGAAAAGTAAAATGCAGGCGGGTATATTACATATCGTGCGGAAATGAACCGACGTTCGAATACGTCTGAAAGGGATGTCGAAATACACAAAAACGCGATATTTTATCGCTCGAAAAACGCCTGGAAATGGACCCTTGAGCGATTTTCTGCCGGAAACGACGACGACGGTAAAGACGAAAGCGCGTCACTCCGCGCGACAGATCGATGGGATCTGCAAAGAGACCGCCGCTACGGAAATGTTTACGTAAACCAGCCCGGTAGGAACCGCTCGTATTTCTTAATCGTTATTGAGGAAGTTGCGCGTTATCATTTACATAACGCGAGCGCGAGCGAGCGAGTTTGCGCGCGTAATACCCAACCTGCTCGGGGCTTTCGCAAGATTTCCGTGAGTCTCCGTGCGGGCACCGCCATCGGGCGAAACCGGCTCTCTTTCTCTTTCTCAAGTTTTCTGCGAGATACGTTCGCACGTGTCCGTATAACGCAATCGTGTGCCGAAGACCGAAATCGTAATTCCGGCGAGTCTCGTTTCTGACTGATCGTGCGAATAAACGTATAGTCACATTTCCGCGCGCCTGCGGCATGTCGGAAATTACACAGCACTTAACGCACACTAGATAAAAGGAAAATGCATTCTCCGCGAACGTAAAAAAAGAAGCGCGTTTGATTACACACGACAATGATAGTACTGATTTGTTGAAAACATCGCAACGTCTTTCTTTTGTCACGTATAATTTTTTAGAAAATAGAAATATTATTCGGCTAAGATTTTCAATTTATTTTTAGACACTCTGAATTTATTATTATTATTTTTTTGCTAGTTATTTAAATTTGACAGCAAATTTCAATAAAACTCTTCTCAGTAAATGGAGGAAGAAAAAATCAATTGTCGGCGAAAATTTACGCTGCGGTAATTTCCATGATAAATTGATATAAATTTAAAAAAAAATTATCACGCGACGTTGCGTCCGTCATCCGTGTCATCACAATTACTGCAATCGGTCTTGCGATAAAAATAAAAATAGACGTAACGAGGAAACTCGTCTGCGAAAATTTCAGTTCCTTCTGGGCAAATTAACGTAAGCGCGAGAAGCGGTCGCGCGTGACGATATCCTCGCCGCGCCAGGCGCGAGCCGGAGCTGCTTTCCTCCTTTGTCCGGTAAAGACGCGGATTGATTTCTGATTAATGCGGATCCTCCTCGCGATACTTCCTCATTGCGAAACCGCGGACGGCGCGGCGGCCGGCGCAACGCGCGCAATTAAATCTCCTCCGCGAGAAGAGCCGGCATGTGAAGATGTTTACAAACTCCGTGAGTAGATAGTAAGAAGACAAAGCGGGGAGTTGGCTGCTTGACCCATTGGCGTAAGTTGCGGGATCCGTTTGCGAACTTGGAGAAAAATGTGTGAGAATCCAAAACCATTTTTCAAATATCTTTATTAATATGAAATATTAAACTTTTAATTGTAATTAAATAACGGTATAAACGCGTCGTTAACAGCTAGGGGATACAAAGAAATCTATGATGTTTTCTTTCTTAATTAGCGGTAGCGCAAGAATGTTTTTATTGATTATAAAAATTACTTCAGCTGACATAATGCAAAAAACGTAGCGAAAAGAACACACCAGAATTTAACATCAGTTTCAATGAGTGAAAAATTCGTCCGAGAAATCGCGGAGTCATTTGACGTTGATTCAACAAGCACGAAGATATCCGGTCGCCTTGGCTGATCGCCGGTGGTTTCCGGTGACGACGCCATTGCCGCTGGTTGGCAGACAACTGCGATATGTACGTAGGTTATCATCTGCATGCACGGGTTACAAAGAGTGTACCGAGCGAACGAGCGGCCGCATAATCCTCGCGTAAGTCCATGCGACTGTCGTATTCTTAACTTTGATACAACCGTGCCGTCGTCATCGTCGGATACAAATACGCGTATCGTATCGCAGCTGTAAGTCGGGCTGCCGTCTTCTTGGCGTCACAGAACGGAGGAGAGAGAGAGAGAGAGAGAGAGAGAGAGAGAGAGAGAGAGGAAGGAAGGAAGAAAGGCAAGCTGCGAGTAGCAAGACAGGAACCGGAAGCTCGCTCGCCACGCTCAGAATCGCAATTCTTTCCTTTTAAAACTAAATTTAACGATGTCTACCATAAGAAGCATTCTCTCTGCCGCGTGCAAAATTGCGATCTTTTCTTATAATTGCGTTCTTTTTTATAATTAGATATATGTATTTAAATTAGCACCGTCGAAAGAAATATTCAACTTCTGTTAAATTCTCGAACTTCGCAGCTTTAAAATTAATTCAATTCATTTATGAAATTTTTCATAAATGTTGAATGTGTATATGAGCTCGCGAGAGACTTGTGCGATACCGAAATATGCAATTTAAATAGATGGTGAGAATTGTATCTGCATCGCTGAGGGAACTTTCCTAACAGGAATTACATATGCACCGGATGCCACCAGAGAGCATAGATATTAATGTCGCTGTTACTTGAACATTCACCAGTTATCGCGTGTACATAGGTCGCGACGCGTTGATTGATTTACGATTAAATTAATAAGTACAAGCTGGGTGCAGCCAACCCAACTCGCGCGCGTATGGCTTGATTTACGATCGTGCCGCGTCCGACTGCCGCGTCGAACGAGATTCCGCGATATGCGTTAAAAATTTAAGAAGAATCATTTACGACTTGTTGACGGCAAACGTGAAATTAAACGTAATTACTATTAACATTCTTAGTATATCACGCAATTTTTTCATAATATACGAGAGACAAATTTAAAGCAGGAACTACAAAAGATAAAGATAAATTATATAAGTATCGTATTTCATCAGAAATACATTTTTTTACCTCGTACATTGAAGATACTTGAATTTTGCAAGATGTACTGTAGATGAAATTTTTATGATAATTATCTTGGGACGGGGGAACGATACTTTCGAGCCATGTAAAGACGATTTGTAGACATAAAGGAAGAGGCGTAGAAACGTGGAGTACCAAATGGACAATACGCGTCCGAGGCTGACGTGAGCGTTGAAAGAAGCGTGGAATTCCCAAGGAGAATGTCGAGTAGAA